GGCTGGGCCAACTATGTGCAGATGCCCTCCTTACGGCACCCCAGCTCTGATACCTGTGCTTGGCTACACCCTCACACATGGACACTCCCTCACCTGCTCGATCTCTGCATCTCTGTACCAGGACACCTCCCTGTGCAGACACCCAGCTTATCTCACTTGGGCTCCGACACCCCAGACCTTGGCACCCCTCAACATGGACACCTACCTTGTTCTGCCCCATGCACTGGCTTTGGGATTTAATTGTTCAGGGACAGAAGGGAAGAAAAGCTTTCCATATATATATATATATAATTTTTTTTTGAAACAGTCTTTCTCTGTTGCCCAGAGAGAGACTCTGTTTCAAAATATATATATTTATGGAATATATTTCCATATATACATATATATGGAAAGCTTTTCTTCTGCACTCTGGAGTGCAGTGGCATGATCTAGCTTGCTGCAACCTCCACCTCTTGGGTTCAAGCCTGGCCAACATAGCGAAACACCTTCTCTACTAAAAATACAAAAATTAGCCAGGTGTGGAGGTAACATGTGCCTGTAATCCCAGCTACTCAGGAGGCTGAAGCATGAGAATCGCTTGAACCTGTGAGTTGGAGGTTGCAGTGAGCCAAGATCAGGCCACTGCATTTCAGAACGAGACTCCATCTCAAAAAAAAAAAAAAAAACAAACAAAAAAAGAAACTTAAACTTACAGTTTATTGAAGAGGAAACAGGCATGGTGCTTATTTAGCAACTGGAACACACAGATAAGCTGACGTCTTAAGCAAAGCCCTGCCCTTGTGTAGACACCAGCAGGAGCACATCCAGATGCAGCTGTGCCCTGAGGAAGAGAGTGACCAGCGACCAGGAAGCGTTTGCAAAATTCTGGAGGCCAAGGATTTTACCTGGTGTTTGATGTAGGCATTTTGAAATTTAATTCCTTTATTCTACTATTAGTCGCTGAATTCCTACTGCGCTGCAGACACAGGGCTAAGTGCAGGGTGTGGAACGAATAACACAGATGTGATCTCTGCCGTCTTGGGGCTTATAGAGTAGAGGAGACACATGTAGAGGAGACACGCACAGGTACGTGTGGAATTAGGAGAGACGATGTGGGCGGGTGGGGATGCCTCTGGACTTAAGCCTAAACTCAAAGGAGGAGGAGGAAGAAGGGTTAGGCAGGCTGAGAAGGGGAGAAGGACATCCTGGGGGGAGGAAACAGCCTATGAAGTCCTCTGAGGTCCCAGAGAGCTGGGAGGAGCTGCGTGCCAGCCAGACATGGACTTGCAAGATGAGGCTGGAGGGTGGCCAGTGGCAGCCTTAGAGGCCAAGGTGACAATCTACTCTTTAATTCTTTTTTGGGGGGGACGGAGTCTCTGTCACCCAGGCTGGAATGCAGTGGCGCAATCTTGGCTCACCGTAGCCTCCACCTCCCCAGTTCCGGTGATTCTCTTGCCTCAGCCTCCCAAGTAGCTGGGATTACAGGCCTGTGCCACCACACCCAGCCAAGAATTTACACTTGAATTCTAAGTCAGTGGATAACCCACTGCAGGGCTGAGAGAAAGGGATTAATATGGTCTGACTCACAGTTTTAAAAGCTCTGTCTCCTTAGCATCGGAGCCTAAGTGGCATCTCAGCCTAGGGTTCTAGGCATTTGAGGCAGTTATTCTGAAACAGTATTTCTGAACCTTTTCTGATTATCACCCTCAAAACCTTTTTAGACATTTTTTCTCTAATCACACTCCCCAACCTCAATAAAATTTTAATACCAAAGGTATACGTTATCTGTTCATGTGCTGGAATCTTTTGTAAGGCTCAAAACCATTGTAATATCTGAGGGTTTTTTTGCCCTCCAAGAAATAGTATTTGTCCTTTTAGGACAATATCACTCTCAAAATGAATGGTAGCTCATGCCTGTAATCCCAGCACTTTGGGAGGCCGAGGCGGGCAGATCACCTGAGGTCAGGAGTTTGAGACCAGCCTGGCCAATGTGGTGAAACCCCATTTCTACTAAAAATACAAAAAATAGCCAGGTGTGGTGGTGTGCGCCTGTGATCCCAGCTACTTGGGAGGCTGAGGCACGAGAATCACTTGAACCCAAGAGGAAGCGGTTGCCATGAGCTAAAATCATACCACTACATTCCAGCCTGGGTGACAGAGCAAGACTCCCCTCTAAACAACAACAACAAAAGAATGCATGCTCTGAAATTATATATTCCGGCAGCCATAAGGACACCTTGCAGTTAAGACTTTTAGAGCTACCAAGAAACTTACCATCAGATACACGTTTAGCGTGTCCTCATATGACACCCAAGAAGTCACGTGAGGACATAGGAAGCCTTCCGGTCCACAGATGTCTTTAGTCACTTGGCCAGGGTTCCAGCTGATGGTTCCTATCCAACCGAACATCCAACAGAAACAACTTAACTAGCTTTAGTTTGGTAGGTGTATTAGGATGTTCTTGCATTGCTTTAAAGAAATACTTGAGACTGGGCCGGGCGCGGTGGCTCAAGCCTGTAATCCCAGCACTTTGGGAGGCCGAGGTGGGTGGATCACGAGGTCGAAAGATCGAGACCATCCTGGTCAACATGGTGAAACCCCGTCTCTACTAAAAATACAAAAAAAATTAGCTGGGCATGGTGGCGCGTGCCTGTAATCCCAGCTACTCAGGAGGCTGAGGCAGGAGAATTGCCTGAACCCAGGAGGCAGAGGTTGCGGTGAGCCGAGATCGCGCCATTGCACTCCAGCCTGGGTAACAAGAGCGAAACTCCGTCTCAAAAAAAAAAAAAAAGAAATACTTGAGACTGGGTAATTTATAAGAGAAGAGGTTTAATTGGTTCTGCAGGCCGTTCAGGACGCATGGTGTCCTCTGCTTCTGGGGAGGCCTCAGGGAGCTTTTACTTGCGGCCGAAGGTGAAGCAGGGGCTGGGTGCAGTGGCTCACACCTGTCATCCCAGCACTTTGGGAGGCTGAGGTGGGAGGATCGCTTGAGCCCCGGAGTTCCAACCTGCAGTGAGCTATGATTGCACCACTGCACTTCAGCCTGGGTGACAGAGCCGGGACCCTGTCTCTAAATTAAAAAAAAAAAAAAGGGAGTTTAACAAGGCAGTTTTGCAGTGCCCCCCTGACACACACACACACACACACACACACACACACACACACACACTCGGTTCTAGAAGCTGGGGACGGAGCTAGGGAAACTCGGAAGCTTCTCCAAGCCTATCATGGCAGGAAGACCCAGAGGGGAAGCAGCTCACCTGTGGGAACTTCCAAGCCCCCAGGCAGTAACCATTAGCAGCATGTTCCCCGGGCACACAACAGTCAAAACCAATAAGCTGAATGTGTCCAAGAGACAGAAATCAAAAAGATGAAATGGCTTCCCAGGCAGGAAAAGAGAGACGTAGGGAGGGATGCAGGCAGTAGAATGGCCAGAAAGGCAGCCTGGGCGACATGGCAAAACCCCAGCTCTACAAACAACGCAAACATTAGCTGGATGTGGTGGCTGCGGGCCTGGGAGGCTGAGGTGGGAGGATCACAGGAGCTCAGGTGGTTGAAGCTGCAGTGAGCCAAGATGGTGCCACTGCATTCCAGCCTGCGAGACAGAGGGAGACCCTGTCTAAAAAAAAGTGGAAGAAGAAGAAAGGCGTTTGACATGTTAAGAAATAATCACAAAAAGTAAAATTAAAACAAAAAAATTTTAAAATTAAGCCTGGGCTGAGCACAGTGGCTCATGCCTGTAATCCCAGCATTTTGGGAGGCTGAGGCTGGTGGATCACCTGAGGTTAGGAGTTTGAGACCAGCCTGGCCAACATGGCGAAACTCACCTCTACTAAAAATACAAAAATTAGCTGGGCATAGTGGTGAGTGCCTGTGATCCCAGCTACTTAGGAGGCTGAGGCAGGAGAATCATTTAAACCCAGGAGGCAGAGGTTGCAGTGAGCTGAGATTGCATTGTACTCCAGACTGGGCAACAGAGCAAGGCTCCATCTCAGAAAAATAAAAATTAAAAAAGATTACGCCAATTGACTAAAATATTATAAATAGAAGAGTTAAAAAGCGAGGATAGAAACATTGATAAAACAGTATGAACACTGAGAAAAATCCAAAAATGGAACCAGCTAGAAGTAGTTAGGAGAAATGGCAAGATATGAAATGATTCAAATAAGAGAATAACATAAACTAAGATAATTCAGTGGGAAAACACTTCAGTGTCCACAATACAAAGAGAAAAATAAATGAATTAGAACATAAACCATTTAAAAGCATAGAGGATTCTTTTTTTAAGGCAATAGGCCAGGCATGGTGGCTCATACCTGTAATCCCAGTACTTTGAGAGGCCAAGGTGGGAGGTCGCTTGAGCCCAGAGTTCAAGAGCAGTCTGGGCAACATTGCAAGACCCCCGTTTCTACCAAAAAAAAAAAAAAATACAAAATTGGATCTGGTCAAAAGATAGAAAGCTAGTGGGGTAGCCTGGGGTCATTTGGGATTGAGGGGGCCTCAAAGTCCAGGCGAGCCCCCCACCCTCAACCTCCCCTGACTCCTTGAAGAGCCAACCAGGGCAGGGCAGGAGTGGCTCAGAGCCCCCACCTTTGTTCCCCCCTGCCTCCTGCCTTGGGAGAAGAAGGGTGTTAGTAGTCTCAGTCCCCGGGTCGGGGGGGGGTGCTGGCCCCAGTTTTCCAGCCAAGTGAACTCGGGCACATGTCCAGCCTCCCGGTCCTCATCTGTAAGACTCTTTGTTGGATCTCTTGACCCTGCAGCTCTTCTAAGTGTTTCCAGCCAGGCCAGCTTCTGCCAGCTGTGAGATCCCAGTGATGGGGTAAGGAGGGAGCTGGAGGGTGCCCATTGGGGTGCCCACCAAGGTGCCCACGAGAATCCAGAGGAGGGGCCGCTGCCGTGCCCACCTCCTTTTTGGCTTCAGGAGAGTGGAGCTGCACCCTGTGCACATGGCACCACCCTTCCCTGACATGCACGCCATCTGCCCCTCACCACTGCCTTCTTCTGTCTTTTCATTTCTACAGGGTCAACGAAGGCTCTTCCAAGAAGAGTGAAGAAATGTCTCTTCAGCAGCTGAGAGCATCTCCCCTCAAAGAAACCATCTAAGCTGCCTGGAACCTGGTGCTTGCTGGCAGCACCTGAGCCATGTGCAGACGGCTCCCTGGGGGTTTCTCCCGGGAGCCCCTGGGGACACGGGTAGTGAGCTGGAGGAAAGGTCACTGAAAACATCCTGGCTCCCTTACAGAGCCACCCACAAGCCAGGGCTGCTTGGAGTGAAACCCCACCAGCAACAGCCAATCTGCATTACAAATGCCAGAAAGCCAGGAGAAGCCAGTCCCAGGGACCAAAGGAGAGACTGTTTTCCTTTCCCATCCCCAATCTGCCCCTTAAAATGTCTCTATGTTAGTTCATTCTGACACTGCTATAAAGAACTACCTGAGATTGGGTAATTTATGAGGAAAAGAGGTTTAATTGACTCACAGTTCTGCAGACTGTACAGGACCACATGGCTGGAGGCCTCAGGAAACTTACAATCATGGCAGAAGGCAAAGGGGAAGCAGGCATGTCTCCCCATGGCTGGCAAGAGAGAGAAAGTGAAGGGGAAGGTGCTGAACTAGGTAGAGTTGTTAAGTTCGACAGCCCCAGAGCCAGGGCAGACATTAGTTGTTTTTTTTTTTAACTGTGAGAAGGCCCCCGGCTGCTTGGAGCTTTATTTAAACGGCTCTTTATTTCCCCACTTTGTTGCTTTATACAGGGTTTAGCCAGAACTGCTAAGTTAGGAATCCACAGCCTGCAGAGTTCCACTGCCCCCAAGAATTTTTATATCTGCTTTTGATTCTTAGGCACGCGCAGGTTACTGATAGGCTGCTTTCTTGTAATTTTTAGGCTTTGCTGCCCTGCTGGATGGTAAATCCCAGATAGCACACCTGTGGTTGGCAAATCTGGGCCTTTTTTTAAGACCTAGTATTTACAGGTCTCCAGGTATTTGAGCAACAAGTTAGTTTCCTGGGCACATATGGCTGCTACCGGGTGTTCCAGCAAAAGGTTATTCATGTACTGAAGCAGCATACAACCTAGGGCCTTGGTGGGGAACCCTTGGAGGTCCCAGGACAATGCCTCTCCAAAGACGGCTGGGGAGTTTTGGAACCCCTGTGGACGCCGGGTCCAAGTGTACTGTGTTGTTACGCTGGACTGCGGCAAACAGTTTTTGGCTTTTAGGGGCTAAGCAGATACTGAAGAAAGCATTCTTTACATTTAAGCAAGTGAACAGCTGGCCTCAGCTGGCAACAGTTTTAGCAACGTATAGGGATTGGGCACCGTGGGGTGCAAGGTTACAGTTCCTGGTTGACCAATCGCAGATTCTGCACTGGTTTATAGTTCTTGGTCTCCAGCTTGGGGACAGGCAGGAGAGGCGTGTTCTGAGGAGACTGGTAAGGAACTCTAGTACCGTAAGCTTTTGGGCATCTGAGATGGACCTGGGTCCCCTTAAGAGCTTCCCTTGGTACTGGGTACTGCCTCTGTTTAACTGGTAGTGCCCCTGGCTTGACTTTGATAACCACTGGGGCTTGGTTTACTGCCAACCCTGGGGGACTGTCTTTTATTTAGACCCATGGCCATTGCTTGGTTAGCGCAGGGGTTAATTTTTGTCCTGGCTTAGTTAGGAAGAGTCTCCACTCCTCCCTCCTTGGGACTGTGAGAGCCATGATAATTTCTGCGTGAGGCAGTCTGAGCTGCGGGGAGCCCTTATTAGTAAATGTAATAGTAGCTTTTAGTTTGCTTAGCAAGTCTCCCCAAAAGGGGAAGGGGACATTCCGGCACGTACAAGAACCGATGTATAATTTTGTGGCCTCCCACCCAACAGGTCCGTGGTAGGCAAAAACCCCGCTTTTTTGAAACTTTAGTGGCCCCAATTATATTTATTGTCTTAGTGGACAAAAGAGCTACAGGTTGGGTTACCACCGAATGCTTTTATTATTATTAGTATGAGGTTTTCCATTTTACTGCGACTCTGTTTGCCCTAAGCTGTTGAGCCTAGCAACTTCCACACCCAGCTGCGCTCCCTGCGCTTCCTTGTTTTCAGGGTTAGCAGTTTACCTTTTTTTATTCCTGATTTTTTTTCACCTTTTTTTTTTTTTTGCCACTAGCGCTGCTGCACCTTGGCCCCTTAACCACTGCTGGGCAGGGGGTCGGGGGAGCGCTGAAAACTAACCATAACCAGGAGTTTAGGGAGGAAATTGGCTGGGGTGTCCTGGCTTGCCTGGAACCTTGCGCCGCGCTTTGGAGACACGGGACCTGCTCAGGCTCCCCTCTATGGGCCAATTCACTTTTAATGCTGGCCAGGTTACTTTACACAGAGTTCTAAGTTTCTCTGGCATTATGGTGGCACCATCATCTCCACGAAATTTCTTATTGAATTTTTTTTAGCATAGTTTTCCACAGAGCAGGTTTACTCTGCGTTCGGTTAGGGTAAGAACGGCACTGCGCGCAGGGCAGAGGGCTGCTCGCTGGCTTTACCTGATGTAATCACTCGGCTCTGCACTCCACCCGCGGTCTCCTACCCTCTACAGCGCAGTTCTTTTTCTGTGCACTTTGACACACTTTTACTTTTTTCCCTTCAGTCAAGTTAGAAACAGAAACAAGTTGAAGGTGCCAAGACTGGCTTACAGAGTAACAAAATTGAATCCAAAGTGCCGAGATTGACACACACACACACACACACACACACGAACAAAATGAAAACCAAGGTGCCCACATTGGCACACCGTGCTTGATTAGGCCATGATTCTACCCAGTGGGGTGGTTAAGTGAAGCTTTCCAGAATTAACCCGACTGAGTTTTTGATGTTTGGACTCCAAGCGTGCGGGTTCCTTCTCGGTGTTCAGCCCTTGTGCCGGATGGCTGCGGGCCCGCCGGGCCATGCTGTGGGTGAAGGATCCACTGGGGCCAGTGCCTACCTGGGAGCGCTCTCAGGATCCTGTCACTCAAGCGGGCTGGAGTCCCCTGCGGGGATGCCCCACAAGGGCAGGGCAAAGCTGCCTGGAAGGCTGTCCTGACCGTCCGCCAACTAAAACTCGTTTCCCGGTCAGGGAACCCAAATTAAGTAGGAATAGCGAGCAACAAACCTCTTGAACACCGAACTGAGGAAGGAAGTGGCTTTTTATTTGGCCAGGAGCTGCGGGGGTGAGGGGGCTACAGCCTTATTCACGGAGCTCCCGGAGAAGCAGCTTCTTTCCCCTTTTATAGGCTTATAACGATAAAGGGGAAACTGAGGTAAAACTATGTTATTGTTCATTGGTTGGACATTCAACCTTACAATTTTTTGGCTTTATTAATTTGCTAGTTCATGTGCAGCACAAGCAGGAACAGGCAGGGGAGGGGGCTTACAGACACAGGACAAAGGCAGTAAATTATTAGTTGGCAAAGGTGTTTTCAGAAGGGAGCCTGCGTCGTGCAAACATGGGGGTGTAACCCAGTGCCAGGCTCCAGCTGGTAAAAATAACATTCATTTGCAACTTTTTTAAGGCTTACAAATAGCAAAGATGCTGGGAACCAAAAACTAAGTTATTTTCCCAGCTCTTTGGTATTTTCTTTCTTTTTTCTTTTTTTTTTTTTTTTTACCTGCCTTCCCATTCAAAGGGGAGGAGGAGGTAAATGCCAAAAAGCAGGAAAAGGGGAGGGGTCTCCCTCTCAGCGCCACACACTTTACAACAAACAGATCTGGTCAGAACTCTTATCACGAGACAGCACTAGGAGGATGGTTCCAAACCATTAGAAGCCACCCCCGCTATCCAATCACCTCCCACTAGGTCCCACCTCCAATACTGGGGATTACAATTCAACACGAGATTTGGGTGGGGACACAGAGTCAGACCATATCCCTGTTTATTCTTGTTCCACCTGAGAATGCTCTGTCTTTGCAGGGTTAGGGTTATATCTCTGCCAAAGGGTCGTCCCTGGAATAGCCCCACTTGCCCTTGAGAAACTTAGAGAACTCATTCTATTCCACTCACCTGGAAAGGGTAAATGCTCTTCTGCCTTACAGGATTAAAGCTGTTTCCCCCACGTGTGTGTGTCTTCCCTCTCCGACAGGGAAATGTCCCCATAGCAGGCGTTCTTGCCTACTTCTGTAGCTCCACCAGCCTCTCATAGGCCTTGCAGAAGCTGCATGTAAATAAATAGTTGATGGAGAAACGATGAAAACAGACTTCCACAATGGATGGAGACCTTTGTGCATTGTTTGGATTCCTAGCAATACCACTTTGCAGAACTGGGATATGGTTCATTTCCCCAAAAGTCTTCTCCAGGTGTGTGCCACCATGCTCGGCTATTTTTTTTTTTTAATTTCGTAGCAACAGGGTTGTTGGAAACAGATGCTCAGTGCTACAAAGAAAAATCAGCACTCAGACAATGATCTCCCAAAAGGCAATTTTACTTTCTGCAGAAAGGGTGCTCCCATTAGCCATCTTGCCCCGAGAGTACAACTAACAAAGGAAAAGCAGACATATTTATCCTTTACGCATTTGGAGTCGTCCTTACTGCTGTGTCTGATCTCTGTTGATTGGAGCCAGACCTCACAATCTAAACTAACACCTGATTGGCTAACAACTTAAAACTTTTCTAAACAGCTAAAAGCAATGGAGAACAGAAGGAAAAGAGGAATTCCAAATAGGGAAGGGATAGGAAGTTGCTTGTGAAAGGACTTAGAAAAGTAATAACATAAACATCTTGGTTAAAGTACAAGGAAGGATGTACGATGTGCCTGTGAACGTGTCTAACAGCTGCATAGGATAGGGCTTAACAAAGAGTTCTTAGCAAAAAGCAAGAAGGCTTTGAAGAAAGTCTTTAAAACGAACTATTATTTCTAACACTTATGATTTATTCTTTAACGAGAAAGGGAACTTTGAAGAGAAACTTTTCTACTTCCTCCAGGGTCTTTCTTTGTTGCCCTGACTGGCTTTAAACTCTTGGCCTCAAGCAATCCTCTGGCCTCAGCTTCCCAAAGTGCTGGGATTACAGGCATGAGCGAAGCATCCCGCCGACCTCACTTCTATCTCCAGCCCAGGTGCCGGACATGTATCCCCGACCTTAACCTTCACTGGAATTCATTTTAGAGTTATAGGGGATCCGAATCTTGGCCCATTGGGTGCTCTTGGTCAAATTTTCCTGTCTGATCCCTTCTTCCAGGAGTTACTAGATAATCAAACAAGATCAATTCTCAGCCCCTTATAGCCCAAAGAAAGGCACAATACAGGGAAGAAAGAGACTATCAGAGCTCAGGCAGGAACCGTGGCAGCTTGCCATTTTGCCAGGGTTAGTCTTCCAACAGCTTGGAGCTTGGAGCTTGGAGCAGAGGTGGAATGCAACTTCCCTAAGAACTTGTCCCAGGGCCCTGCTATTGATGTGCCGCATTCTGAGTTCCTCCGGGGATTTAACCTCTCTTGTTGAACTTGTCAGGGAACACCTGTGTGTGATCTGCTAAGTGAGCTTTCGCATTTGAGTTGTTCTCCACGCACAGCCCTCCGCAAATCAGTGAATTCAATAGGCAGAGGGCTGCTGTGCCTGGCCATGCTTTGAGATTCTCCCAGGGGTCACCTCTTCCAGGCAGCTCTCACTGACCAACCCTGCCTGCCTCTGTGCGCCAGCCCCCTCCCCCCACCTCTCACCACCCTGTGCCCTCTATACAGCCTTCTTATTGCACTTTCCAGGGTGTTGTGATGGGTCCATTTACATGCTGATCTCTCCAGTGGCTCCTCAAAGACGAAGTTAAATCACCTTTTCTTGACCTGGCCTGCACATAGTAGGTGCTCAGTTCATGTTGCTGGAGTGAATGACTATTTTTTTTTTTTTTTTTTTTTTGAGACGGAGTCTCACTCTGTCACCCAGGCTGGAGTGCAATGGCACGATCTCAGCTCACTGCAAATTCTGCCTCGTGGGTTCAAGTCATTCTCCTGTCTCAGCCTCCTGAGTAGCTGGGATTACAGGCACCCACCACCACACCCAGATAATTTTTTTTTTTTTTTAAGATGGGGTTTCGCTATGATGGCCAGGCTGGCCTTGAACTCCTGACCTCAGGTGATCCACCCACCTCAGCCCCCCAAAGTGCTAGGATAACAGGCATGAACCATCATGCCCGGCACCCAGCTAATTTTTGTACTTTTAGGAGACACAGGGTTTTACCATTTTGACCAGGCTGGTCTTGAACTCTAGACCTCAGGTGATCTACCTGCCTCGGCCTCCCAAAGTGCCAGGATTACAGGTGTGAGCCATGGCGCCCAGCTGTGAATGACTGTTATTTTATTTATTTGTTTATTTTTGAGACAGGGTCTTACTGTGTCACCCAAGGTGGGGTGCAGCGGTGAGATCTCGGTTCACTGCAGCCTCAACTGCCCTGGCTCAAGCAATTATCCTGCCTCAGCCTCCTAAGTAGCTAGGACCACAGGTGTCTGCCACCATGCCTGGCTAATTTTTAAAGTTTTTGTAGAGTCAGGGTCTTGCTCTTTTGTCCAGGCTGGTCTCAAACTCCTGGACTCAAGTAATCTTTTGCTTTGGCCTCCCAAAGTGCTGGGATTACAGGCATGAGCCACCACACCAAGCTTTTATTTTTATTTTTGAAGAAAATTTAGAATAGTAGTTCTCAATCTTGGAATCACCTATGAGCTTAAAAAAAAAAAAAAAAAAAAAGCAGCGCTGAAGCCCCCTCCTCAGGATTCTGATGTCATTAATTGGGGCTGGAGCCAAGGATAAGAACCACTGGCCTAGAAATAATTTGTTAACTGGGAAGATGAGTACAAATTTAATCCAGCAGATAAGGTTAATTATAACAAGACTGTGACCTCATAGTTAATAAGTTACTTACCATGAGGTTAGTAACCTAACTTGATTTCCCAGAACAACAACAATACATACTTTTAAGTGAACAAACTAGATTTTCTTTTCTTTTCTTTTTCTTTGTTTTATTTATTTATTTATTTATTTTAGACGGAGTTTCACTCTCGTTACCCAGGCTGGAGTGCAATGGCACGATCTCGGCTCACCGCAACCTCCGCCTCCTGGGTTCAGGCAATTCTCCTGCCTCAGCCTCCTGAGTAGCTGGGATTACAGGCGTGCGCCACCAAACCCAGCTAATTTTCTGTATTTTTAGTAGAGACGGGGTTTTACCATGTTGGCCAGGATGGTCTCGATCTCTTGACCTCGTGATCCACCCACCTTGGCCTCCCAAAGTGCTGGGATTACAGGCTTGAGCCACCGCGCCCGGCTTTTTTTTTTTTTTTTTTTTTGAGATAGGGTTTCGCAATTGTTGCCCACGCTGGAGTGCAATGGCGCAATCTCGGCTCACTGCAACCTCTGCCTCCGGGGTTCAAGCGATTCTCCTGCCTCAGCCTCCTGAGTAGCTAGGATTACAGGCATGTGCCACCATGCCTGGCTAATTTTGTATTTTTAGTAGAGACAGGGTTTCTCCATGTTAGTCATGCTGGTCTCGAACTGCCGACCTCAAGTGATCTGCCGGCCTCGGCCTCCCAAAGTGCGTGAGCCACCGCGCCTGGCCACAAACTAGATTTTCTTAAAGAAATATTCTGACCGACAGCAGCGGCCGCGGGCCCGAGGGCGGGGGCCGGGGCCGGGGCCGCCACCCGCACCGGGATCACACCGGCTCCCAGCTGTCGCTCGGGGCCCGCTGCGGCGCCGCGCCGGAGCACAAGGAGGCCCCAGAGCGCCCGAGCCTGGAGGACCCAGAGTCGTCGGATTCCGATGACGAGATGACAGACCCGGCCAGCTTGGAGGCGGAGGCCCACCAAGGCCCGTGCGGCCAGATCCGCCATCAGTACCGGGCGCTCATCAACTCCGTCCAACAAAGCCGGGAGGGCATACGAAATGCCGGCGACAGATTAACAGAGGCCCTTGAAGAGGCCAACACTCTGTTTAAGGAAGCGTCCCGAGCAAGAGAAGCAGTCCTCGGTGCCCACTTTCTTGTTTTGGCTTCAGATTTGGGCAAAGAGAAAGCAGAGCAGCTGCGCTCGGACCTGAGCTCGTTTGGAATGTTAAGATATGTTGAAGCTCTACTGACACATATGGGTGTAAATCCGCTAGAAGCTGAAGGACTCGTCCGTGATGAAGATAGCTCTGATTTGGGATTCATAGTCTACGACTCCTGGAAAATACCAGGCAAAACAGCAGAAAACACTTTTAATAAAACCCATGCATTCCACTTTCTATTGGGTTCAATATATGGAGACTTCCCAGCGCCGAAGTCACGAATTGATCGTCTAGGAAAAGTTCCTATGATAGGAGAGGAGAGGGCAATGCCCGCCCAGTTAAGCAGAATGGAAGGCGGAGGCGAGCAAGTCACTTGAGCCCAGAAGTTCAAGACCAGCCTAGGCAACACGGAGAAACCCTGTCTGTACTAAAAATACAAAAGTTAGCCAGGTGTGGTGGCACATGCCTGTAGTCCCAGCTACTTGGAAGTCTGAGATGGGAGGATCACCTGAGTCCAGGAAGGCTGAGGCTGCAGTGAGCTGTGAGGCTGGGTGACAGAGCAAGACCCGGTCTAAAAAAATAAATAAATAAATAGGCTGGCACGGTGGCTCACACCTGTAATTCTAGCACTTTGGGAGGCTGAGGCAGGCGGATCACCTGAAGTCAGGAGTTTGAGACCAGCCTGGCCAACATGGTGAAACCCCTTCTCTACTAACACTACAAAAATTAGCCATGGATGGTGGCACGCACTTATAGTTAAAGCTACTTGGGAGGCTGAGGCAGCAGAATCGCTTGAACCCAAGAGGCAGAGGTTGCAGTGAGCCAAGATCGTGTCTCTGCGCTCCAGCTTGAGTGACAGAGCAAGATTCTGTCTCTAAATAAATAATAAATAAATAAATAATAAAAAATAAGAAAGAAATTTCCCAACAGCTACTGGTTCTACCAGGAAGGAACAGCCTACACTTCACACAATGGAACAAGATTCACTTTCTGGGCTAGTTTGATTCCTTTTGTTTCATCCTGTTATTTTAGGATGGATTTGTATGTTTTTCACGGGCTGATTGTTCTAAATGTACCAACATGGGTGACCATGAACAAGCACATTGCCCTGGACTTCTTGAAGTCAGCCGAGGTGGGGAATGAGTGGTGGCCAGTACCTCTTGCCTCACGATTTGCTTAATGACATATTTTGCTGACTGGGCTCTGGCTGGGACCCTGGCTGTAGGCCTGGTCAGCCTGCTGGCAGTCACAGTCATGGCCACACTCATGTTCTCTAAAGAAAATAAAATAGTTTTGGGACCAGGCACAGTGGCTCACACCTGTAATCCCATCAGTTTGGGAGGCTGAGTTGGGCAGATCGCTTGAGCTCAGGTGAGGCCAGCCTAGGCAACATGGTGAAACCCTGTCTCTAATTTTAAAAAACAAAAAAATGATTTTGCGGCCAGGCAGTGGCTCATGCTTGTAATCCCAGTGGTTTGGGAGGTGGAGGCGGGTGGATCACTTGAGTCCAGGAGTTTGAGACTAACCTGAGCAACATGGTGAAACCCTCCTTATTTCTACAAAAAAAATACACAAATTTAAAAATAATTGTTTAATTATGGTGGTGTTGGGTGCGGTGGTTCATGCCTGTAATCTCAGCACTTTGGGAGGCCAAGGCGGGCAGATAACCTGAAGTCAGTAGTTCAAGACCAGCCCGGCCAACATGGTGAAACCCCGTCTCTGTTAAATAAATAAATAAATAAATAAATAAATAAATAAAATTAACTGGGCATGGTGCACACACCTGTAATCCCAGCTACTCGAGAGGCTGAGGCATGAGAATCACTTGAACCCAGGAGGCAGAAGTGGCAGTGAGTTGAGATCATGCCACTGCATTCCAGCCTAGGCAACAGAGAAAGATCCAGTCTCCAAAAAAAAAAAAAATTATAATGGTGCCATGGGTCTGTAGTCCCAGCTCTTGGGAGGCTGAAACAGGGGGATTGCTTGAGCCTGGAGGCAGACATTGCAGTGAGCCAAGATCACACCACTGCACTCCAGCCTGGGTAACAGAGTAAGATCTTATCTTTAAAAAAAAAAAAAAAAAAAGTTTCGGTCCAAGTCCCTATCAGTGCAGATAACTAAAGTATCTGATGGGGCAGCTATATCCCTGAGAGTCCTTAGCTGGATACATGAAAGGCCAGAGACCAAAGGACTTAGGCCAACTGGCAAAGGCTGCAGCTGCGCTCATCTGAGTCTTGGCAGGGCGCCCTGCCATCATGGGTGAGAGGCTGTAGAAGCTGCTACGAGGCCACCTCCCATTGGCCTCCCATCGCCCCCTGGAGGCTGCCGTGAGACGCTTCTGCATCGCCTCTAGCTTCTGTGAGATCTGAGGCCCTCCTCTGAATAGAGCTGTAGAAGATAAAATTCCTCAGCTGCATCTGGAACAGGCTCCTCAGTTACGGGGCATCCCACAACCTTGCGGTCACAAGCCTCTTCAGGGTCTTTCAGGGTCGTCCTGTTCGGTGTAGGCGACCAGGACCGCAGGGCCTGGCACCTTAGGCTTGTCCTCCTTTTCACTGTCTATGTAAAGAAGAAATCTGAAATCTATCTAAAAGTGGCTCGCTGTGCCTTTACAGGTCAAATCAGTCAGGACTTGGCCTCTGCCTGGCCTTGTTGGATGTGAACTTGACAGTGGCCTATTGCTCCACCTCTCATCTTAACCAAGGCTGAATCAGAGAATCTGAGGATAGAATTTTTGGCTTTCACACAGGTCTAATAATGCCCCTGAGCTTGGGAGAGATAATTGATTTATGGAACCTCAATAAATATGGGTGGCTGGCTTTGAAATTAAGACTCAGGGATTATATCTGGAAGGCTTCCATTTAAATGGGTCACATGAAAGGTTTAGTCCCTGAAGGAATATATACATATTTTTTGAAACGGAGTTTTGCTCTTATCGCCCAGGTTGGAGTGCAATGGTGTGATCTCAGCTCACTGCAACCTCCGTCTCTTGGATTCAAGTAATTCTCCTGCCTCTGACTCCTGAGTAGCTGGGATTACAGACACCTGCTATCACACCCAGCCAATTTTTGTATTTTTAGTAGAGACGGGGTTTCAACATGTTGGCTGGGCTAGTCTAGAACTCCTGACCTCAGGTGATCCACCCTCCTTGGCCTCCTAAAGTGCTGGGATTGCAGGCGTGAGCCACTGAGCCCAGTCGGAATATTTATATATTGAGGACACCTTATTTCCTGACGGAAAGCCAACAAGATGTAAGTTACCAGTGTGCTGGACAAATACCCAGAAGGTCTTTCCAACAACCCACTAGAAGAATGAGGCCAGGGAATGGATTTCTTTGATCACGAGGGCATGTGTGGAGAAGCCTCTATGACCAGTAGCGGTGAGACAGGATGGGGTTCTTGTTGGTGCTCCAGAGCGATGGCACAGGGAATTTCCCGATCCTCCGGACTGCACTCACGCTGCTTCCTGCGTGCCTACTCACCCCCTACAGCCTCCTGCAGAACCTCACAGCCATAACCCCAGAGCATCACTGCCGGCCAGGGACAACTGGACCAATGGATCTCCTCTCCGAGCTATGTCAGGATAGGGACCTATTGGGGGTCTTCATTCTGCTGAGCAAGGACCAGAAGGCTGAGCAATGCCTGAGGGTCTCTGAGCCCCAGTGGCAGATCTTAAACCACAGCAGCTCCTCCTCTTTGGGCCTGGGCAGTGAGGCCTGGCGGGGGCACGATGGCCTCCTCCATCATCACCGATCGGAGGCAAAGCTACAGTGGAGTGCCAACCTTCAAATGGCTTTTTAACTTTCTTTTAATCAGGATATAACCTTTTACATTAAATGTAAATTTAAGTGTACAGCTAGATAACTTCTATATTTTGTTTTGCCTATGTTTGAATTCCACATAAACAAAACCATGTAGAATATATTCTTTAGACGGGGCTGGGTGGCTGGGTGACAGCGTGAGACTACGTCTCAAAAAAAAAGAATGTATTTGTTTTCTTTGAGATGGGGTTTTGCTCTTGCTGCCCAGGCTGGAGTGCAATGGCATGATCTTAGCTCACCGCAACCTACACCTCCCAGGTTCAAGCAATTCTCCTCACTCAGCCTCCCGAATAGCTAGGACTATAGGCATGTGCCCCCACGCCCAGCTAATTTTTTATTTCTAGTAGAGACAGGGTTTCTCCATGTTGGTCAGGCTGGTCTCAAACTCCCAACCTCAGATGATCCACTCACCTCAGCCTCCCAAGTATTTATTTTTTTTAGAGACAGATTTTACTCTGTTGCCCAGGCTAGAGTGCAGAGGTATAAGCATAGTTCATCGCAGCCTCAAACTCCTGAGCTCAAAAATTTCTCCCAAATTTTAATTTTTTTTTTTTTTTTGAGTTGGAGTCTTGCTGTTGCCCAGGCTGGAGTGCAGTGGCGCGATCTCAGCTCAATGCAACCTCTGCCTCCCAGGTTTAAGCAATTCTCCTGCATCAGCCTCCCGAGTAGCTGAGACTACAGGCGCACGCCATGGCACCTGACTAATTTGTGTATTGTTAGTAGAGACCGGGTTTCATGTGTTAATCAGGATAGTCTCAATCTTCTGACCTTGTGATCTATCCACCTCAGCCTCCCAAAGTGCTGGGATTACAGGCGTGAGCCACCGCGCCCGGCCTCAAATTTTAATTTTTAACATTTTTTGTAAAGATGGGATCTCATTATATTGCCCAGGCTGGTCTCGAACTCCTGGGCTCAGGTGATCCTCCCACTTCAGCCAAATACATCCTGGGCCAGGTGCAGTGGCTACTGAGATTATAGGTGGAAGCCACCATACCTGGCCCAGGATATATTCATTAGCGTCCTGGGGTTTTTTGAATTCAACATAGGTTTTTAGGAGTCTTTCATGTTGAATGTATCAGAAGGTCTGTTTTTTTTTGTTTTTTGTTTTTTGTTTTTTGTTTAGTATTATAAAGAATTCCATTGCATGAATATATCATAGTCTAGTTGTCTTTTCTATCATTGAAAGACCTGTGCACTGTTTCCAATTTGGAGCTATTCTGACTATCACAGTCATGAACATTCTGGCACGTCTTTTAGTGGACATAGGCATTTGTTTCTGCTGGGTGTATGCCTGGCATGGAATTGCTGGATCACAGGGCGTCCCTAGAGCAGTTCTGTAAAAGGGTTGCATCGACTTACAAACGTAGGAGATGTTCAGCAATCTTCCATTGCTCCACATCCTCCCTCAAACTTGGTCCAAATGATTTCATTTTGCCTTCACTTAGCTACTTACAAAACAGGGAATTTTAAAAAGAAATCAACATTTTATCCATTTTCTCGCTACTCCGAATTTCTCATTTGCCTAAGTAAAATGAGAATGGGGCCAGGCGTGGTGGCTCACGCCTGTAATCCCCTCACTTTGGGAGGCTGAGGTGGGTGGATCATAAGGTCAAGAGACGGAGACCATCCTGGCCAACATGGTGCAACCCCATCTCTACTAAAAATACAAAAAAAAATTAGCCGGGTGTGGTGGCCTGCACCTGTGGTCCTAGCTACTCGGGAGACTGAGGCAGAAGAATTGCTTGAACCCAGGAGGCAGAGGTTGCAGTGAGCCGAGATTGCACCACTGCACTCCAGCCTGGTGACACAGCAAGACTCCGTCTCAAAAATAATAATAATAAACAAAATGAGAATAAAAAGAGGAAAAGACCAGGTGAGGTGGCTCACGTCTATAATCCCAGTACTATGGGAGGCTGAGGCAGGTGGATCACCTAACATCAGGAGTTCAAGACCAGCCTGGCCAAAATGGTGAAACCCCGTCTCTACTTAAAAAAAGAAATTAGGCCGGGCGCGGTGGCTCAAGCCTGTAATCCCAGCACTTTGGGAGGCCGAGGCGGGTGGATCATGAGGTCAAGAGATCAAGACCATCCTGGTCAACATGGTGAAACCCCGTCTCTACTAAAAATACAAAAAATTAGCTGGGCATAGTGGCGCGTGCCTGTAATCCCAGCTACTCAGGAGGCTGAGGCAGGAGAATTGCCTGAACCCAGGAGGCGGAGGTTGCGGTGAGCCGAGATCGCGCCATTGCACTCCAGCCTGAGTAACAAGAGCGAAACTCCGTCTCAAAAAAAAAAAAAAAAGAAAAGAAATTAGCCAGGTGCAGTGGTGGGCACCTGTAATCCCTGCTACTTGGGGGGCTGAGGCAGGAGAACCACTTCATCCCGGGAGGTAGAAGTGAAGAGAAGGCAGAGAGTGAAGAAGAGTCAGAGGAAGAGGAGAAGGAGGAAGAATTATTGAAAGATTTCAAGCAAATTGGGTCTAGGTTTGTGTGGATCATCCATTCAGGTTAGAGGTCTCCTCAGGTGAGGGACTGGACTGTGTGCTTTACAAAATGTCTGGGATAATGTGCTAATTTTATCATCCTAACATTATTATAAAGGTTTCTGCCATTTAAAATAAATAGGCTGGCTGGGCGAGGTGGCTCACACCTGTAATCTCAGCCCATTGGGAGGCCAAAGCGGATGGATCACTTGAGGTCAGGAGTTCAAGACCAGCCTGGCCAACATAGTGAAACCTCATCTCTACTAAAAATACAAAACTTAGCCCGGTGTGGTGGTGCGTGCCTTTAGTCCCAGCTACTAGGGAGGCTGAGGCGAGAGAATCACTTGAACCCGGGAGGCGAAGGTTGCGGTGAGCTGAGATGGTGCCACTGCACTCCAGCCTGGGTGACAGAGTGAGACTCCTTCTAAAAAAATTTAATAAAATAAAATAAAATGGCTGGTGTTCATGACAGCAGGACCACTGGACCCCACAGCTATGAATAGACCCACAGAGTAAGGCATGGCAGCTGTCGGCTGACACCTCCTTCTCTTCTCCTCCAGTGAGACCTGGTGTTTGAATACAAGTCACTGAAGTCCATATAC